ATTGTTATTAGTAAAATATGAAAAATAAAAACAAAAATTTTAAGGAAAATATAACATGTTTATGAAAAATAACTGTATGTTCCAAAACAACAGCAAAAAATTAGTGAGATGTTTCAAATCTCTTTTATGTTTGGCTTAACTGAAGACATTTGGATTTTCCTGTCTACTTCTGCATTCAGTCTGTTGTGATATGTTGTTTTGGTTGAAGAAAATCAGTCTTTAACAGATTTCTTGGACAATTTTGGATACTTGTCTTTGATACTGTACCAATACTTGACAAGTGGCAGTTTCTTAAAAGATAGTTGCAATGTGGAATCTGAAAACATATCAATGAACTTTTGTACCCTGTTGCTTTAAAGTCCATGGGTCTGGCTTGCACTGTGAGTGGATCTTTTACCTGGGCATGCTTTGTGACATCTTGCATCGGTCATTTGGAAAGTATTGGTTTACTGAGGTATGTAGATCTTCTCAATGTTGACACATTTCATTATACGATAAAAAATCACATTCATTAGTATCATCACCAATCCCATCAGCAAAGTCTTTAAGTATTAGGAAGCTGTCAAGTTCACGGTGGCAGATACAACTTTTCCCAAATTCTAATTTTCGCTTGAAAGCTTAAATTTTGTCATTTGCAACAAAGACTGTCAGTTGTTTTCCGTGAAATGACAGACACACTTCATTCATTTTTGAGAAAATGTCTGCCAAATATGCAAGTCTGAATCACCATAATATGTCCTTCTTTTTTGAAAGTCTTTCTTTCAAAAGGCATTCCATGCAGTGGCTAACTCAGCTTGTAACTCAATCATACAAGTGCTTTCCTTCAAGACAACCCTCCCTACACAGAATATTTAAAAAAGTTAAAATGTAATCAGATTATCGCTTTGTTACTACTTCTGCATAGACATTCTTAAATGAAGACGGCTTTTCTTCCCTGCCAGTGTATGCCAGTGAAGGACACCTTGCTTCCTGTTAGGCACCCGTTTTACCTATCATTCAGTTGCACCATCAGTGAAAATATCAACACAGTGGAAAAGGCAAATACTGTCTTAGTATTATTATGGAAATGGCCTCATGGACCTTCTGGAAGAGCCTCGGGGCCTCCCATGGAGGTATGGACCATACCTTGCAAGCTCCTGGTAGAGGTAGAGCTACTCAGATTTTGTTTTTAACATGAAACCTACCAGGCTTGGTACAGCAACACTGACAGCTGGGGCCCAACTATTCACAGCTCCCTGGAGATGTGCACAATTTCCATTCAGATAAAATACCAGGACAGGAACCAACAGGAAACAGCCCTGTCACCTCCTGCCTCTCTTCCCGAATCTTCTCTTCAGTGCCTTCTTCCCAGCATCCCATGGGCCCTGGGTTTCTCAAGGCCACACGAGAGGGGCCACTGTTGAGAAGAGTAGCTTCAATGAGCAGGTGAGAAGAGCAGGCCTGCCATGCTCATGACTGTACTCACCACAGGTACAGCTACAAGAACCCAAAGAAACAGGTCCCACCCTGTGCTGCCTGTCCTGGGCAATGCCTCGTCTTTCTTCTCTGGAAGTCCTTTGCACCTCAGACTTTTCTCTCCTTTCTTCAACCTTGCACTTTCCAAAGCCTTCCCTAAAACTCTGTTCTCCTTTTTCAATACAGCATCTGGTTAGCTGAGAAATGAATCACTGCCAAGGTAAGAATGACCACTAACGCGTTCATTGTGTTAGGCAGAGGTGTTCACAGTTTAACAGGAGACTGCTGGAGGCATTATGCCTCAACATAAGGAAACAGTTCTGCAATGGGGAGCATTTCAGGCAAACGGGGTGATTCAGAAGCCTCTGAAATCGCATTAAGGGTGGAGACTCTGCTGAGACAAAGTCAGAAGAATTGATGATTGACCAATCAGAGTGGGGAGATGAAATCCACAGAGCAGTGGCTCACCTCCTCATGAGATGAAGGCCATATAGCTCTTCGTTTCAGTTCCTAGCGAGTGAAAAATATGCAGTGTTTACACTATCAAAGGACAACTAGGACTGAGGCATGGGTCTCAGTTTACATGGCTGATCGCTAACATTTCCACCCTGTCCCGTGTGTGGATGTTTGGATATTACTTAGGGAGGTGGTGCTTTAATATTCTGGGGGCCAAGTCTACTCCCCGTCCTTGCCAACTATGCTGTTCTCCTGGCTAAGGAGGCTGCCAGCCTGTTTCCTACGCAGATAGAGAAGGAGGGCTGTGATGGGGAGCGTCTTTGGATAACAGCTGTGTCAGGTTAACTCTGGCTACCTCCTTTGTCTAGAACAAATGGGGCGCCCAGGAAAATAGATTTGGGGGATAGGCAGTGCTGCCAAGCAGACACTTTGCATCTGAAATGCACACCTACCAGGAAAGCTATCAGTGCTCTATGTGCTGCATCTACAGAAGGTCACCTGGCTTTTTTTTCAAGCCCTGAATTATGAAACAAGGTTGGGTACATTCTGGAAAGTCCCTTTGTGGGTGTTCCTCTAAGACAACCTTTTAGAAGTATTAATTTGGTCTTTCAGTTTTCATCTGGTCCCGGGAAGACTGTTCACACTTCTACCTCTAGTCTCTGCTGACTTCATGATGAGCAGATAAGAAGTGGTCAATTAGTATTTATGGAATAAAATTCACTCTTCAAAAATGACAGCACTTTAAATGACTCTGTGGCCCAGGAGGGACCCTTGCTTTGTACTCCCCGCTCCAGAGTTTGAACATTTAAAAACCAAGGAGGACCCAGGGCTTAGCAAGGGTGTTGGCGTCACGGAGCATCCTTTGTGCAATTTTACTTGGAGATCCTGACTTAAGCAGCCCTCACCACACCTGCAGCCCCCACCACAACCTGCAGCCCCTACTATAACCTGCAGCCACCTCTCCTGTTCACTGTCTCCTGCCTTTGCTTGTATGACCCCCTCTCCCTTTATGAAACCCCATCCCACCTTGCTCTCCCAGCCTCTCTAAGTCTTACCTAGATTTTAAAGCTCAACTCAAATTCTGACTTCTTCAAGAGGCTTTCCTTTCTGATTCACCATCATCCTTGCAATATTAACAATAAAGATGATGATGATCAATGACCGAATAGCTACTATGTGCCAGGCACTGTTAAAAAAAAAAAAAACCAAACCAGTTGCTGTCAAGTCGACTCCAACTCATGGGAACTGCATGTGCGTCAGAGTACAGCTGTGTCCCATGGTTTTTTGTTTTTTTTTTTAATATGGGATGCTTTGTAAATTTATGTGTCATCCTTGTGCAGGGGCCACGCTAATCTTCTCTGCATCGTTCCAATTTTAATATATGTGCTGCTGAAGTGAGCACTCCATAGGGTTTTCAATGGCTGATTTTTCAGCAGATTTTTAGGCCTTTCCTCCAAGGCTCCTCTCGGTGGACTCGAACCTCCAAGCTATCAGTTAGCAGCAGAGTGTGTTTACCGTTGTACCACCAAGGGACTCCAGACACTGTAGTGCACTCATACATAATCTCATTTAATCCTTATAATAATCTTGTTTTTTATAGGCACGGAACGTTCCGAGGATTTTAGTGCACTGCCCATGTCATGAAAACCCTAGTGGTGCAGTGGTTAAGAGCTACAGCTGCTACCCAAAAGGCCAGCAGCTTGAATCCACCAGGCACTCCTTGGAAACTCTATGGGGCAGTTCTACTCTGTCCTGTGGGGTCGCTATGAGTTGGAATCGACTCAGCTGCAGTGGGTTTGGTTTTGGTTTTGGCTCATGCTATACGCTAAGTGATGGAGAGGGAACACCAGCTCTGGTTTGCCTTGTTCCGAAGGTCATGCTTTTAACTGGCCTCAGTTTGCCCTCCTGGGGGGTGCTAATTACCTAATCTTGAGAAGCTGATAAAGCTAGATGGGACCTAAAAGGTCATACTGACCAGTCCTCTTATTTTACAGATGAGGACCCTACAGCCCAAAAAGGCAAAGAGACTTGACTCAGGTAACACAGTGAAGTTTTAGCAGAGTCCGGACAAGTACCAGCTCCCCTGGTTCTCAGACTCATTTACCATTTATTCATTCAACACATTTACTCAAGCCTGCTATGTTTAAGTCACTGCATTGGGCCCGGAATATATTTCCTGCTGCATCTTCTCTGGGTGCTTCTTTTGCAAGTTTAATGAATTCACACACAAAACTGCCTTAAAACGGAGGATGAAGTAAACGTCTGCCTCTTCCTAGTGTGGCTCACTTGTCCCTGGAGGCTTAGGCACATAGACCAACCCACATTCAGAAGCAGTTGCAGTTCCAGGGGAGAGGATGTGTTGGAGACTGGGGGAGAGGGTGTTTGATTACAGTTATTTATTCTTTACGGGGGAATGTGCAGGAAAGGTCCTGTTTATGAAGATGGTTCAATGCTGCTCAAGTAACGGATGTTTTAGGAACAAGCATTAGAAAATAGGAAGCATGACTCCTAGTTTTGCCAACTAAGTCTAACCCAGTTCCAAAACATTTTGTCCCTCCTTTGCTGTAGTGTGTGTAGGGATAAGGAAGTCACTAAGCTTATCCTCTTGGAGGCCTAGAGGCACAGTGGTTAAGAGCTCGGCTGCTAACCAAAAGGTTGGCAGTTCGAATCCACCAGTCGCTCCTTGGAAACCCTATGGGGCAGTTCTCTGTCCTATAGGGTCGCTATGTGTTGGAATTGACTCGACAGCATCGAGTAGAGCAGTAAGCTTGTCCTCTTAGGTGTCTCCCATCCCGGCACCACTACCTGGATTTATTATTATTATTTATTTTGTGGGCAGATTTATCTGAGGATCCTTAGAGATGCCCAACAAACCCTCTCAAGTGAGCTGAGAGGACGTGGGAGCCACAGGAATGTCCTGTTTGAGAACTTGGAAGGAAAGAAAATTTGATTGTTCCTTGAACAAAATTCAAATTCACAAAATAACACCAGACTTGCTGGTCTGACAGAGACTGGAAAAACCCCAAGAGTATGGCCCTCGGATACCCTTTTAACTCAGTACTGAAATCACTCCCGAGGTTCACCCTTCAGCCAAAGATTAGACAGGTCTATAGGGCAAACAATAACACATGTGAGAAACATGTTTCGTAGTTCAGTCATGTATACAAGACTAATGGGCACACCAACCTAAAAGCAGAGTCGAGAAGGCAGGAAGGGACAGGAAAACTGGACAAATGGAAACGAGGAAACTGGGGTGGAGAAGGGGAGAGTGTTAACACATCACAGGGTTGGCAACCAATGCCACAAAACAGTATTGTTTAATGAGAAACTAATCTGCTTTGTAAATGTTCACCTAAAGCACAATAAAAAGAAAGTATTATTAAAGTGAAATAATTATTTTAAACTATTTAAAAGACTGCAATTAGAAAAGCATGCCCATACAAACATGCCATATATAAAATTCTGAAAATTGGACAGCACTGGGTTAACTGTGCTGCCAGATTAACTCAAATTTTGTGGCAACTCAGAATAAAACCTTCCTCACTAACCCTGGGCATATATTAAAGATTTTGTAAATGTGGTATCAATTAGAAAGGTTGTACCTCTGCACAAGTCTTTTAAAAATTTTGACCTAAATTAATTTTTTTTTGGCCTAGTTATGTCTGTTCACAGAAAATTGCATAACTATACACTACCAGAGCCCTGGTGGTACAGTGGTTAAGAATTTGGCTGCTAACAAAAAGGTTGGCAGTTCAAATTCACCAGCCACTCCTTGGAAACCTTATGGGGGCGGTTCTACTCTGTCCTGTAGGGTCGGTCTGAATTGGAATCAACTCGACAGAATGGGTCAATACACTACCGCATGACAAGTATACTACACATGTTGAAATAGCAAGCATGCTGAGTTGCATTTGCTATCATTGGACAAGTGAATGTATAATATATAGAACTTTTGAAAGTTTCAGCTACTTCTTGTTTGACTTGTTATGTTTATGATAAGAGATGCGAGCCCTTGTGAGATATTGTAAATGAGTCAACTGTGTCTTGAAATTGTCTTATTACTCTTCTTCAAGATTCTGGACTAGTTTAATAGAAGAGTGTCCTGTGATTGCAAGATATGTTAAAAACTTTTTCCACTGGCAACAATCTACCTGTGTGAATCGTGATAATCTTGATATTGAGCAATCAAAATACAGAAATAACTTCACTGCTAAGGTTGGCATAACACTGCAGCTGTCACTTGTATATCCAAATTTCAAATTTGCCTGTTCATCTGTAGAAAAGACAGTAAAATTGTACCCCCAAACAATTTATTCATTATGGGAAGTTGGGCTAGATTATTTCTAGCATTAATGTTTTACTTTTTGATTGATACTTTGAAGCTGCCAATCAAATGCATGTTCAGCAGGACATTTTACACAGCTTATTATCTTAGTGTTTTCTGAGCTTAATGTTAACTTCTTATAAAATCCACTCGGTAAAATATCTGACAGTAAGACCCTAGGTAGCTTGTTTTCAAATCATAAAGAATGGTCAATAAAAGCCAGAGGGTGCTGGTGGTTACCAGTGAGAAAATAAAAAGCTTATTATCCTTTTACATTACTATTTTTAAGTAGTCAAAATTTGTTAGTATTTACCCACATATTTAGTATTTTCAGTGCTCTTTATTCCTCCTTGTATTTCTGTGTTCTTTTTCGGGATCATTTTCTTTTGACCTCAAGAAGTTAGAACCGTATTTCAAGTGCTGTCTGCAGGTGACAAATTCCTTTTTTTAAAAAAGTATTTTTTGTTCACTTTTGAAAGATACTATGAGCAAAGAATTCTAGGCTGCTATTTTTTTTGCAAAAATTTTAAGATATCTTCCCATTGTTGCCAGATTCAAGTTTCTTGAGAAATCAACAATCTTATTGTTACTTATTTGAAGTAATATATTTTTTCTTCCTCTTGCTGCTTTTAAGATTTTCTTCTTATGGTTTTCAACATCTTACTATTATGTGTCTAGATGTAGTTTGCTTTAGATTTATGCTGCTTAGGGTTTGAAGAGCTTCTTGAATTTGTAGGTTGATGTCTTTTGTTAGTTTCAAAAAGGTCTCAAGTATTGCTTCTACCCCATTCTCTCTCCTGAGACTCAAATTACACATATACTATAGATTTTCAGTGTGCCCCAGTGTCTCTTACACTGTTTTCTGTAGTTTTCCTTTTTTAAAATCTGTTTCAGTTTGGATATTTTCTATTGACAGGTATACCAGTTTTTAAATCTTGTCTTCTGCTGTATCTAATCAGCTGTTAAAGCCATCAACTGAGTTCTTAACTCCAGATATTTATGCTTTAGTTCTAGAATTGCCTTTTGGTTAATAAATTTCACTAGTGAAATTTTCCATCTTTTTTTTCTTAAATTGATTTTCTCTTTTTTTTGTTTTTTTGAGCATATTCATCAATTATCTTAAGGTTTTTCTCTACTAACTCCAACATCTTAATTACTGTAGGTCTAAGATAGTCCTTGTTTTCTGGGTTATATGGTCCTATCTTTTGGCTTGTGTAGGAATTTTTTTATTGAATGCTAAACATTGTGAGTCTCCGGATTAGATAGTATTTCTCCAGAAAGGACTCACAACTTTCTTCTGCTTGGCAGGGTGGCAAATGATCACCTCAATCCAATCAGGGACTGAGTTGATCTACGGTTGGGTCGCATTGTTTGTAAGGCACTGTTTAGGCTGCCTCTGTTTAGCCCCTGTTCCTATGTCATAGCCCTCCAGGGATTCTGACTAAGACTTTCATGTGTTCATCAGGTAGGTCCTGAACTTTATTGTTGGTCTCCACAGCACAGTCATTCTGTTGAAAATGGTTTTGTTCTTTAAAAAGAGGTTTTCAGCATAGCTTTTAGCCTCAAAAACTCCCTATAACCTCAAAATCTGATACACGTCTTGAGAAACCAATGCATGAGGTCTCTCAAGTCTTTATTTTTATCATTCCAGCGTTGTGAGACTACTAGGAGTTCTGTTGAGTTCTCTGCTTCCTGGTAGTGACCCTCTGGCTTGGATTTCTCAGCCACCTGCCTCCAGGGAAAAACCATTAACAGAATTAAGCTCACCTCTTGGAGGTCTCTCCCTTCTCCATGATCTTAGTACCTCTAGCCATTGTTGCTTCAGCAGATCTCTAGTGCATTTAAACAGATGATTTTTGTAATTTATCTGGCTTCTCTAGGTTTTTTAAAAATTTTATTGTGTTTTAGGTGAAAGTTTACAGTGCAAGTTAGTTTTTCTTTCAAAAATTTTATACACAAATCATTTTGTGACATTAGTTGCAACCCCCACAATGTGTCAGCACTCTCCCCCTTTCCCTGTCCACCCTGGGTTCTCAGTGTCCATTCATCCAGTTTTCCCTTCCTGCCTTCTCATCTTT